TATATATATATATATATATATATATATGATATGATTGCTATTTGGATCAGTTTTCAAGACAATATGTTTGAACAGATAATACCCATATGTGGCTTCCATGATATCAGACAAATCAGAGCAATTTTTCGTAGTGTGGACTTTCATGAACCGGAAGGTACACAGAGAGCAAATGCAAGACAAAGCAAGAATAGTTCCACCAGAACAATCTTTTGCTAATCATTTCGTAAATCAAACTTACAAAACTTAGATAACACATACACACCCTTTATAAATGAAAAGCCAAAAGATTATACATTTTTGTTTTCTTGAAAGTTCAAGGACACACAAGACTGATAAAAGAAGAGAGGCTATATCATAAGATTAGGTAAAATTATTGGATGATGAGACGTCTGGTGCAAAGGGTACAGTAATATCTGCGTTTAGTTTTGAAATAAAGAGGGACAAAGCAGAATCTCCACTGACTCTCCATGTCCAAGGCTTGAACCATCCCTCCACAGTAAGGACAAGCTCCTGGAGCTGCCTGTCTTTGTAACACCCTCTCATCTTCATCACATACAAACACCAAACACATAGTGACAATAATAACAAAACCAATGTCTCTAAAGCAAGTCTACTGCAGGCAGACCTTAATTTCAGCTCCAATAGCGTGTATTTAAGTTACAAGATTTGCAGCAAAACTTGTGAGTTTTCTATCTATTGTAGGTGTCTAGTTAACTTGCAGACTGGCAATTAAAGAAGCTTAGATCACTAGGAAGTAACTGAGATATGGCAGATGAGAGTCACAACGGTGGGGTTGTTGGGATTAAGACAAAGCATATATATCCGAAAAGATAAGGGAATCTGGAAAAAGCTAGAAATATCTGGAAGGGACTCGAGTAAAAAACGTGTTGACGTCTTCAAGCTTTTATTTATGCTTCTGGATAACAAATTCTCTTTTTTTTTTCTTGGTCTTTCCAACAGTAAGGAAATCAGATCCTCCTTCCGTTCCATTTTATGTGACGTAGTTTGATTTAGCACGAAATTTAAGAAAGAAAGGAAGATTTTTAAAATTTGTGGTCCAAAATGAATGACAGAAATTTGTGTGGCGATAATCATTTCATTAAGGGTAAAATAGATATTTTATAGTTAAATTGTTACTTAATATATAAATGTGTCATTCTTTTTAGGACTGACTAAAAAGGAAAGTAAGTCATATAAATTGGAACAAAGGGAGTATCACCTTTCAAATAAAACAAATACTAATAAAGAAAGTTGACACAGGAAAGGAAGAAGCAACTTTCTGTGCTTGCACATTTTTAACTCAGATAACAATTCCTGTTTCAATTGAGTTGAAATGATTTTTGACAATTGAAGTAGTTGATATGTACACGAACAATTTCATTTCAAATGTGACAAAACTAACAGAACAAAAGAAAATGAGAAACACCTACTAGAAGGGAGTTCAAGAATTTAAGAAACCATCGACTCTAGTGTTAGCATTCCTAGACAGAAACTTCATGCAAATAGGCGGTTTCACTCCTACCAAAGCCAGTATTGAACTGGGTAAGGTCCATATTCCATCACCACAAATCAGACCAGAAGCCACAGCAGGCCCAAATGCATCAGCCTTGGCCTTGTTAATCTTTGTCCAAACGAACAATATCAAGCTCCCGAGACACATGTCAATAGCAAAGTAGGAGCCAAGATAGAAGGGAATGGCCATCGCCATTGGGAGAGGAATGTACTTTGCCTTGTTCTTTCCCACAAGATCTCTGATGCCATTGATCACAATAGCACCTATGAAGAACACGTAGCAAAGGGTGAGGCAGTTCTTTGGAAGAGCTGAGAAACCTTCAACTCCAATGATAGACATGTTACGATACACCAGGGCATAAGGGGCAGGATATGCTGAACCTTGGGTACCTAAATCAGGGAATGCCTTATAGAAGAGCCAAAATACACATGGGGAGATGAGACAACCCATTGCTGTGCCAATAATCTGGCTTATGAACATGGACCGCGGGGAAGCCAATGTCATATAACCAGTCTTAAAGTCCTGTGTTAGGTCAGACGCAGTGGAGACTATGTTCATCATGACGCCACACGCAGCTAGTCCAGCAAGAACCCCTCCATGAGAAGCCCCAGCCCATGCACCAATTGTAAAGATTGCCAGCTTTCCGTAGGTGGATGCCAAAGACCAGTCAGTGAGACCACAACCATAAGCATTGCAGAAGGCTAATACCGGTGCAAAAACATAAATCACGATGATATGGTACCACTTAAGTTGATGGAAAATGTGTGGAAGTGTTATAGTAGAGATGATGGCAATGCCAACATAACCAACTATGGAAACCCATATTGGAATTTGATCCTTGAGGAAAAGTGTTGTTCGTCGCTGGTCATCAAAAGACATGGAAGGCTCTGGAGGAGATGGACGAGCACCAACTGGCAGGACTGCTCCTTCATCTTTACTGCAGAATTGCAAATACAAACCATATAATGTTCGTCCAAATACCTTGCAGAAATTGTAGAGACCATCACCAAGGATCATGGCTATTGCTATGAAGACCTGCAATAGAAGAGAAATATGAGGAAAGTATATTTTAAGAATTGAAACTGTGCTTCATTTTGGTCTGTCTGCTCTAAATGTAAAAGGAAGACATTACCTTATATCCCTGCAAGCCATGAAGGCTGCTGGGGCTCTCATCTGCAGGGAACCAATGACCCTTTCTGTCCTGAATCAGAGGCCACATTATACCCCAAGAAAGGATAGATCCAAGTAGCAAAGATATGTTGATTAGGTAAGGACATATCATCCCTACACCAACATATGTTGCTGAAAAGTCAAAGTAAAACCTGATCGATTCGGAAAAAAATAAAATGTTAAATAAAGGTAAGCAAAAGTTGAATGGCAAACTATATCATCTCTTTCAATTGCGAGAGAGATGAGAGGAATTGAACCTCTTGTCATGTAGAGGTAGTTTGGAATTAGAACCTACTTGTTCTCATATGCTTTAAGGCCAAACGTGGGAAAACTCGCAAATCCACAGTCATCCCCAGCAGTGAAAAACCATTGGAAGAAACCCCATAAGAAGCTGAAGGAGAAGAACTTCGCCAGAGCTTTTACTTGTTTCCTGCAGTGATCAATTAAAAAGAAACAATAAAATTGTCAGCATACCTTCTGTAATGCTGACAGAATTTACTCAAGTTGTGTAACTTGCTTACTTTGCTAGCTTAGCTCCTTGTGGGGTATGGAAACTATTGATCAGGTGAGCAGTTGCTGTGCCACTTGGATATGTCAGTTTGAAGTCTATGATCATAATCTGAAACATAATTAACAAAACATATTTGATTATAAAGAAAAAAGTAAAACTGATCAAAATCCTGAGAACAGCAGCTTTGATCTTTTGCAAGAAAATTTGTTATGTATATACATTACATATATCCTGAGAAAAGGAAATACCTTACGAAGAGGAACCACTGAGAAAAGCCCAAGAAAGCTAACAACGAAAAGAAAACCTATCATCCATCCCAACGAGGGGTTCTTGATATTGAATGCATTATTAGCTTCAGTTGATTGTTTGGCAGCAACTTCACTCATGGCAAACAGATAGCTTCCAAAACCTCCTGCTCATCAAAAGTGAAAAACAGAAATTAAGAGTTATTGAACTTGAGATGCTCAAGGTATGAAGGAATAATATAAGGCAATTGCTAAGCTAGCATTGTTGCTCGATAATGCTCAAGGTAAGAAATTCCATCATAACAAAGTTGTGGAAGAACAAGGAGTCATTATTGACAAAGTTAGCACCCAAATATAGTTAACATACACACTTGTTCATGTTTATTATTCTTAATTGGAATTAGCCAAACAGAACTGCAAAAAGGTTTTATCTTGATTAAACTCTCCAAACAAGAGCTAGCAGAGATACTATATTAAGCATTCTATTTGGAAAATGGTAAACTATTTTCTATAGAACTTCTAAATATCACGCTCTTGTCATTAAACCTTAGACAAATATCATTTTTCAGTCAAAGCTTCCTAATTTGTTCTTCTAATAGTTTTTCAATATGGTATATTGCGATAACCAACTACTTTGCAATAAACTCAATTTTCATGAAGCAAATCCAATGAACTCTAGAAAAATAATAGACAAAAGGGGTTGTTTGATTTGGAGACAAGTTATGTTGGGATTAGTTATGATGAAATTGATTATATTGAGATTATTTTTTATTGGTTGTTTGGTTTGTCATATTCTAATAACATGCATGGCATAATTTCTAGAAGTGTGATTGTTTACAAAAACAGCTCTTGATTTTATTTAGTTTTTTATACTTTCTTTGCAAGCTATTTATTCTTAAAAATAAATTTTTCATCCTATTTAACTTAAATATTTTTGTGTCTACATTCTCATAATTAAAATACCTATTTTTTTTAAAATGAAATAATTTATAAACACACAAATATAAATATCTATAACTTATTTTAAATTATAAATTTCAAAAGGTTTTTTTCTTTTTTAAAATTTATGCCAAGGCAAACAAGTCCCAAAGAGGAAGTAAATAATATTTATTGCTATTGTTCGTAGAAAATTCACAAATCTTTGAGCCTAACTATGTGGGACCACCATCTCCAATGGGCCCACACAACTTTAAAAGCCAACCTTGTGGACCCCACACAAAACCCACAAAAGCTGGAGGCCCAAGAGGGCCCATGAGAAATACACGTGGCCCAAATTCATGATTCAAACATGCAAACTTTCTAGTTAAATCCAAATCTTTAACTAACTGCGATATTAATGCATGGCTTAATATAATTTACATTTATTAATTTCTAGAGTTTCTTTAGATTTATCCTCCTTTAACCCCCTTCTCCTTTTCTGTCCGGATTTAACAAGATCTTAAACATGGAAAACACAATTATCTATCAGATTTAAAGTATTATTACGAGTAATTAAACTGCAATAATAATGCATGAAGAAATTGTTGAAAACACTAATTATTCTAAGAGTTGCAGCTTATGTGTTTGATAAAATGCCTGAGAGAGACTTACCGCTAAATGCAATGCCGGAAGTAGCAACAACACAGGTCTGAATGACGGTGTTTTCTTGGCGAGTGAAAGGTTGCTTAAGAATTCCAGATTTCTCAAGAAGTTTAGTCCACGTTTTGAGGAAAAAGAACCCCAAAAGTCCAGCAGAAACATTGAGAGAAGGAATAATACCAGTGGTGAGACTCAATTTCAAGACAATGAAAGTGAAAAGAATTCCCAATATGAAACTCACACAAAAAGCCCTTAAAGTTAACTGGTTCTGCCATGATGGCACTTCTTTGGACTCAAAGATCCTTTCTACAGAATACAAAGCTTCTTCTCTTTGGGTGATATCATCATCATCATTTTTCTTTGTGTTTCTGTTGAAACTGTCGGATCTACTATCCATGGCCTCACCAAAACAAAACAAAAAAAATGGGTTTCTTGGGTTCTCTTTTTTCTTGGTTTTCTTGAAGGTGAGATGTGTGTTGTAGAGTTGATAAAGAAATAGATGACTGCAGTATATAAAACAGGGGCTGCCTTTTTTTCGTCTTCTCTGTTTTTCTTGAAGAAGTTGATCAGAAATAGGAGACTATATTGGGATGTGGTTTGTCTTTATCGGATGGAGATATAAACAATTCATAGTGGGAGTTCCGATTT